AAGAAGTGGTTAAAATATGGGTAAAGTAACATCAACACATATCGAAATATGCCAAACATCAATGCCTCTAAAATCTAATATTTTACATATATACACAATATAATTTTTCGACAAATGGTTGTCAATTGACCATCCTTGATAGGTTGTAGCTTCGCCTCTGGGTGTTGTGAGATAAAGAAACTGTTTTCGATATAGACCTTCAGCTCAAGAACAATTTTTAGATGTGCTGACTAGAACTACGCCAAATATGACCAGCTGATGAATATATATTCAAATAATTCAACCATGTGTGAATTGTATACGTTATATTTTCATGGGCTAAATTTAATACCGTATTAACAATGCCTTTTACTTTTTCTATAATTTTCTGTATCGTTTGGACTTTGGACCATGGTAATCGGCGACATGTACAATCACTTCAAGATAGTGAGCAGAAGATCCAATTTAATTTATTTGTAGCAACTAGCAAACGAAACACACAAAAAGGGGAAGCCAAAAAGATAAGATAGAATATCGAGTCAAGGGAAAAGTCGAGGTCCTGTCTACTCCTTTTTAAGACATTACAACAAGTCTAGAACTCTTCAATACTTATTAAATTTGGGATCTCCAGTGTATTTCACCCCTCTCCATCCCATCATCCAGCAAATCAATTTTAAATATATAATCCAAAAAGAACAAAAATAGTCTCCTTTTCTAATGTTCCCTCTATAGATTTTCAATCTAATCGAATTAGTTACATTTCAATAATAGTTCAATTCCTATATTCTAGAGGAGATTACTTGCATCTAGTAGCAACAGCTATAGGGATTGAGGTGGTTTGTTCAGAAAATGTGAACATTATTAAAGAAAGAAAACAATAACCTATTGCTAGGTTAGCATAACTTTATCCACGTTAGTAGTTACAAGCAGGGGCGGAGGACCTTTATAGACATAATTTTTCTCCAAATTCTACCTCCCTCTGCAATAGTAATTTATTCAGTTAATTTCACTCACGAACTATCCATTCTGACATGTCTTTACCTAGTAAGATATGTCTAGTTCCCCCTCGGTTGTAGGAAATTGAAAGAGTCTTCGATTTCGAAGTTAAGTGAACATAAGAGTTTTCAATTGAATCTCGTATGATGTTCTTGCATTTTAAATTCCCTTAAGTAGGAAGTTGGAATAGTCCGGGTCGATTGCTACGATGGATAAACAAAAGTAATGCTAGAATAAAAATTTAATACCATCTTATCCCTTGTTTGGTTACTATAAGTTATCCGAGGATTAACAACAATACCGCGATAACTTATACCTGCCAGAGAATGGAACAGTAATCCCAGGATAAGTTATTACAGGATAAAGCAATATAATTGACAATCTCAGGATTAATACAACACATCAAACAGTTAATAAAAAATAATATACTAATCTTAGAATAACTTAGTCTTCAAATCAGACGACCCAATAAAGTATTAAATCCCACACATCTTTTAATATGCATTATATTGCGTTACCTATAGAAAACGAGTATTATGGATGGAGGACAGTGCTCATGCACAGCACTTCACCACCACATTTCCAGAGGTAAATTATGTATTACTAGACTGCAATCAGCGATAACACTTCCAAAAGAATGTCAAAAAGAAAAAGTTAAATACTTAGCAAATAGTTAAATACCTTCTCTTAATTAAATACTAATACTAGCTCTAATATTCTTTTGGCAATTCCATTCACTGGAAATTGGAACCTGGTGTGTAAATTGCAAGATCAGGCCAACCATTGCTACCACCATTCCAACAATTATTAGAATCTCCACCATTTTGATCTCCCAAATATGTGTTATTCCCATTTTGACGGGTACCATCTGAGCCCGAACCCGAATTCGTATTTTGATTCCTTGCAAATTCACCCAACTGCAAATTGGACCCATTATTATTCGGATTCAAAGCTTCCATCAAATTCCCAAATTGCGGTCCGTTTGACTCCAACAGTGCACTGAATTGCCCATTACTCATATCAATCACTCTATTACTGTTTTGATCAAAATCTGGAATTGCAGGTATACCAAATGGCTCTGGTTTTGGATTTGTTATCTGATCAGGTTTTGAAGATAAAACTGAAGACGACGTCGTTGAGGAGGAAATTTTCTTATTGGATGAAGAAGAAGAACGTTTTGTGTTCTTACGAAAACCACCACCAACTGGAATATTTCTAAGAGTACCGCCTTTTGTCCAATACCTACGACAACTCTTACAAAAGTGACGTGGCTGAGAAAGATTATAATTGTTGTAATAACAGAATTTTGTGTTTGGTGAATCACATCTGGGGCATTTCAAGTGTTCTTGCTCTGGAAATTGTGGCTTTATTTGTGTATAAATTGATGGATCTTGCATATTTTTCTCTTTAGCCTATAAAAATTCAGTCTTTTTGAAATAAACCAAGTGAAGTTTGAGCTTAAGAATGATAAGGAAATAGTAGTATTGAAACCAAAATCGTGGTTCTTTTTTTGAGTGAATTTTCAATGGATTTGTTTGTTACTATGAAAGAAGAAATGCTGGCTTTTTGGGGTGTGAGAAGTGGCGAAAAAGCACTAAAAGAAGACAAAAAGACAAGATATTTTTCACTTGTAAAATCTGCAGAAGGAAAACAACAAAAAGGTAAGAAGAAAAAGCAAGAACTTGTACACAGAGGGCTATTTTAATTTCTTGAATATATGAAACCAGATTATAGGATCTTTACCTCCAAATTTTCACCAAAATCAGTGACTCTGCAGAAAAAATCTAACTTGAAATCTTTCAGGAAATGAAGAAAAATAAGAGGACAGCAGAAAATAAATATACTTAGATTTGAAGTTTGATTGAATGATATGAAGAATTCCGCGTTAGAAAGAGTTAAAAAGAGAGAAGTAGAGTTTCCTTTCTCTTTCTTATACTCTTTTTAGGCTTATAGAATTGGAATTTTTAGGAGTCTATAATGTTTTGTGAAGTCTCACTCAAGCTGATTTTAAGAGTAGGCTAAATACTAAAGAGGAGTCTAGTAAAAAAGACACACTGCCATTTATTTAAAAAAAGAATTAAAAGTTGGTAGGCAGAAAAATATCTAGAGATGATTAAAAATATTTATATAAGATTATAGATCAAGCCAAAAGCGAATATTGTATTGTTAAATCGTCAACGTAATTAGTATTAGTAAATTCAAACGAGGAGACTAAACGTCAATTCTTGTCTTTATAATGTTCACTTAATTTTTTCGTTTTTAAAATCTCTGGATCTATAGTGTTTCCACGCTTACCCTCCAGCGTGATTCGAATCCAGAATCTAACGATCGTGGATGAAGGTACTTTTACCCATTGAACCTTACCCGTGTTTATTAACCTTTGATTTCATTTCTTCTGCAGAAAACTACCACATCAAACAACTTAAACCAATTTTGGTTTTGCATTACCTTTCACAAGAATATTTTTAATTTATAAAATGGCATTTGGACAGTTTTTGCAGAATTCTTTTGAAGATCTTTATCAAACTAAACATAGGATACTCCCTTTGGCCTTTCCAAAAATCGTTTTAGCTAAATAAATTTGGTCTAAAATAATTAGTCACTAGGAAACCATGAAGGATTATTTTTTTTTTCTAACTCTATTCTTGCTCCAAAAAAAAAAAGAGCTATACACTCTTAAAAGGTATTACTCAACTTTAGGAGAGATAAACTAAACAAATTTGGTTTAAAATAAGAGTCACTTTAGAAAACGTAGAAAGGATTAATTAGTCTTTTCTAATTCTATTCTTGCTTCAAGAAATGAGCTATACACTCTTAACAATTATTACTCAATTTTAAGAGAGATAAAAAATACTCCTTTAATAAAATAGTCTCGATGATAATTAACACTACTATTTTAATTTCTTAAATAAGTGTGACAAAAACTTTAAACGATATTTAAAAAGAATCGAAAGAAGTAGTTTCTTTGACATTTGTAGAAAATTCGTGCGGCCAAACAGCGCCAACATAAAAGAGTTTTTAGAATTTTATGTGGTTACAACTAGAAATAATACTGGGGTATTTATTTATTCAAACAATCCAATTTTTAAATGGTGACAAAACAAAATTGTTCGTTTGTAAGGAATAAAAATTGGAGGGGCTTCAACTTCAATGGCATCTTAGGGAAAAGAGTTTCGTGTTATTAGGCGTTAGTATTATTTTGTCGCGTTAGATAACGATTAACGAATGTCTTTGTCAAATAAAGATGACTCCTTATCCCTAAAACAATCCGCGTGATGACTTTTTTCTCTACTGTCTAGTCTTTTTCCTTAGCTTATTAGTCGATTTCCGAATCCAAATACGGATCGGTTTCAAAGGTAGTTTCAAGAAATGAGTTTAATTTTTAATATTTTGACACTAAATTTATTATGGGTTTAAAACGATGAGTTCAATTATAATATTTATTAAAAAATTAGTAATTTTTATTTATATATTTAAGTTTTGCGCATATAGCGGGTTCGCATATTTTTTATGTATATACTCTCTCCGTTCATTACTTGTCCACCGTTAACTTTGCACGCCCTTTAAGAAATAATAAATAAAATGTATAATTTATTATGATACCCATATTAATTGGTATATAATTATAATAGATTTAAAAAATAATTTGGAATGAGAATTTAATACTAAGGGCAAAACAGGAAAAATAAATTATTTTTCTCTTGATATGTGAAAGTGGACAAGTAAAAGTAAAAATTTATTTATAGAATAATGGACAAGTAAAAATGAACGGAGGGAGTACTTATTTACGACCGCTCCGCTTATTAAGAAGCCGAGCGAAGCCGGCAACAGCAGCAGTCAAAACCAAAAATAGAAAAGCTTGCGTGCGAACGAAGCAGAAATGAGACTGAAGAGAGCATCATTTGGACTCGACAAGATTCATCGTGACCGTTGGATTGGTTGAGTTGGAGCCATCAGAGCGTCATATGTGAGCACAGAAGTGGAATCGTAGCGTTGGGTGGCCGAAAAACGAGAGCCAATGTCACCGGAGACACGTGGATAAGCCCCCCATTATTGTGTGAGCACAGTGTTTTAATGGAGGCGATAGTGATAGAAATGTGAAATAATTGCGACGATACTTCTAATGCGGATCATGCCACGAGGTAAAAGTGCAAAAACAACTACGGAAAGAAAAAGGGAACTAAAATCTAAAATGTTAAAAATAGCTCTTTTTTTTACTTTTTTTGCTATATACGGTCAAAACCGATTTCGACCTTCAAATGATTAATCAAGATTGGAACATAATGGATCGAAAGTCATTTTCATAATATCGAGATAATATCTGAAGTCAGGTTACCGAGCTCAAATTTCAGGGACCGATCAAATACCGAGCTCGATGTCATTATCAAGCTCGGGTCCAAATCAAACAATGATGCGAAGCGGCGTTATCGAGCTTAAGAGCCAGAGATCGGTCAATACCGAGACCAAGTCAACACCGGACCCCGAGTCAATATCGAGCTCAAGACAATATCGATCTCTAAATCTGGAGATCGATCAATACCAAGTCCGATCAAGGTCGAGCTAAGAAACAAGAGTCGTTACAGCCGCACTAAAGAAGAGAATCTCGGCGGGAATTAAGAAAAAGCCAATTAAATAATCTATCATGGGATCTCACTATGTATTTTTTATATCTAAAGTAGGGTTTTCTCCATTATAAGAAGAATGACTAACATTTCTGTAAAGAAATCTGACATTAAGGCATTTAGACACTCTCATATTCAGATACTATTATTCACAGAGAAATACAGTAGAGATTATCCTCTTGTGAGCTTTATACATTGATTCATCTTGCTTGTTCATAAAATCGCTTTCTATTCAATTTGGTTTGTATTTCATTCTTTACAGTCTATATTCGATATATTTCTATTTACTTTTCTGATTTGTGCCAAGTTATACCCACGTACCCTTAGAACTACGTATAAATTCAACTCTATCCGTTTTTCGAGTAAACAGTTTGGCGCCCACCATGGGGCTAAGGATAACAATGGTTATTTGGTACGAATCTCTACAAAATACGCCATTTTAAGCTTACTCTTGGAAGTATCTTTGATTTCAGGTTGAAAACGACGAATTCTCAATTAATGGCCCTACCTATCGACAATGAAGTTGGCCTTCAAGATGAGAACAACAACTTAACCCCCGAGGGTGGAAGGCCACTCGTCGATCCCGTTGGAGCTCGGTCGAAGAGCCAATAAACGTTAACTGACATGTGGCCATCGAGGCGAACCAACGTTTCGACCCTGAAAATAGCATTCATGGTGGAACTCGGTCAACAGCTCGAAATACCCAAAAGACTGAGAAAAATGGAATCAGCTTGCGTATAATTTTCGAAATGTTGCATGCTCAACAAGTAGCGATAGCCCAGTTGCAGAGCCAAACACAGGCACCGACCAGATTCGAGCCCAGTCCACCCCAAGAAGTCACCCACAAAACGGGGCCAGCTATAGTAAGGTCAAATGAGCAAGAATCGGGAACTAATCCCGAAATTGTTAAGATGTTCGAAGAAGTGACAAAACGAATAGAGTCAGGAGAAAGGAGAATCGAGGCAAACGACAAAAAAATGGAAACGTATAACTCCAGGGTTGATCAGATCCCGGGGCACTACCGATATTGAAGGGCTTAGATTCCAAAAAATTTGTTCAAAATCCTTTCCCCCCGAGCGCGACTCCTAAACCAATCCCAAAGAAGTTTCACATGCCCGAAATTACTAAATATAATAGAACAACCGACCCTAACATGTCACCTCTTACATATGTGCCATTAAAGGAAACGATCTAGAGGACGATTCGATCAAATCTGTATTTTTGAAAAAATTCGGTGAAACCCTGTCAAAGAGAGCAATGATATTGTATCATAATTTACCATCTAACTCTATCGATTCTTTTGCCATGCTTGCAGATTCTTTCGTAAAAGCACATGCTGGGGTGATAAAGGTCGAGACCAGGAAGTCGGACCTATTCAAGAGTAAGACAAAAGGATAACGAGATGCTAAGAGAATGCGTATCTCGTTTCTAAATGGAACGAATGGATCTATCACCAGTCACAGACGATTGGGCTGTTCAAGCTTTCACTCAAGGTCTAAACGAACGAAGCTCGATGGCTTCACGGAGGATGAAGCATAACCTGATCGAGTACCCAGCTATTACTTGGGTCGATGTGCACAATCGGTATCAATCCAAAATAAGAGTCGAAGACGACCAGTTGGGTTCTAGGCCCGTTGTTAAAAGGGACATCAATCAAGAACCAAGGACGATTAGGGACCGATACCAACCATATAGTGGAGACCATAGGGGGAACGAACCAAGACATAACCTCATACAAGGCAATAAAAGAAGTGATCGAGGCCAAGGGTGTCGGGGGCTGATGAACAGAAATGGGTTCGACAGGCATACCAGACCCAAGGAAGCACCGCGGTTATCGGAGTATAACTTCATCATTGATGCATTCGCTATCGTGTCGGCTATTGGACGCATTAAAGATACTAAATGGCTTCAACCTCTGCAGACCGATCCTGTCCAGAGGAATCCCAATCAAATGTGCGAATATCATGGCACTCATGGCCACAGAACGGAAGATTGCAGGCAACTGAGAGAAGAAGTAGCCCGGTAATTCAATAAAGGGCACCTTCGAGAATTTTTAAGTGACAGGGCCAAAAACCATTTCAAAAATAGGGATTTCAGTAGGCAAAACGAACAGGAAGAGCCACAACACATCATCCACATGATCATCGGTGGGATCGATATCCCTCAGGGGTCGGTGCTTAAATGCACTAAGATGTTGGTTATAAGAGAGAAGCGATCTTGAGCTCAGGATTACGCACTCGTAGGAACCCTGTCCTTTAATGATGAAGATTCAGAAGGAGTTATACAACCTCATAACGATGCACTGGTAATATCTGTACTTATGAATAAAACTCAAGTTAAGGGTGTGTTAATTGATCCAGGTAGCTCGGCCAACATTATTAGATC